CTCACCTCAGCCTCCCAAAGCGTGGGATTACAGGCTGAGCCACCGAGCCCGGCTTCAACCTCCTTTTCAGCAAAAAAAGGAAGAAAATTAAAATGTGGAAATCATTTTAAGATTAAATACACAAAAAAACAGTATGAAGTTTTCTCAAGAAGCTTAAAAAAAAAAAAAAAACTCCATATGACCCAGCAATCTCACTTCTGGCGCTTTATCCAAAAGAGTAGAAATCAGGAGGAAAAAAAGAATTGAAATTCTCTTCAAATAACAAAAGATATTATCACCCCAATGTTCATTGCAACACTATTCATCATAGCCAAAATGTAAAAACAACCTAGATGTCCATCGACAGATAAGTGGATAAATAAAATGTGGTATGTACATTCAATGGAACATTACTCAATAAGCATTTTAAAAGGAGAAAAGCCTGCAATATGTGACATGTATGGACCCTGAAACATTATGATGCCTGAACTAAGTCAGTCACAGAAGGACAATACTGCACTTATCTGAGGTTCCACTTATCTGAGATTCCACTTATCTGAGGTTTTTAAACTGTCAACTCATAGAATCAGAAAATATTGGCTTGATGCAAACATTCATAGCATTTTTGCTTGCCCATGAAATGTAAATGTCACATGATCGTTGATTTGTCATAGTTCACCACATTTGCCAATTCTCAGGCAGACTGACACGGATCATCATGTCCTAAAGCATTTAAGTGGTCTTCATCAAAGCCCGATGGTCTTCCTGACATGGAGAATCACTTAGGACAAAGTGGCCCTCTTTGAAACAACAAAACTATTTTCTTGCCTTGCTTTCTTGCCTTGCATTTTCCCCATACATAGCACAAATGTTTGAAGCCATCTTCACTGCCTTTATTCCTCTGTTAAACTCAAACAGAAGAATATGTCAGAAGTGTTCAAGTTCTTCCACTTGACACTTCATCTTCTTTAGCCCATAAATGGCATTAACTTTCTCAAATCTCCAATACGCAAGGCATATTCACAAGCACATTGTCACGCCAAATGACAAACGAAAAACAAACTCTCAGCACTGCAGTGTTGTCATGCCAAAAACAAACACTACAGACTTATGTATCAACCTAACAGAACAATGGTTGCCAGGGACTAGGGAGGGGCTAGAAATGGGAGTTGTTAACCAATAAGTATAAAGTTTCAATTATGCAAGATGAATAAATTCTAGAAATTTGCAGTACAACAAAGTGCTTATAACAATATTGTATTGTACACTTAAAATTTTGTTGAAGGTAATCTCATGTTAAGTGTTCTTACCATAATAAAACTTTAAAAAAAAAAAAAAAGATTAAACACAATGTGAAATATCTTCTCCATGTCACAAAAGCCTTTATTTACAGAAATGGTGAAGAAGAACAAGCACAATCTTAAAATATCAGACAGAGAAGCACACTTTTAACTTTTCAGAAGACATACTATGTCAGGTCTAAAATGAAAAATAAAAATCATTTATTAAAATTACATACAAAACTAGTATGTGTTTAGTCACTAACTTATAACAAGACTTCATCTTTATATGTTTAACAACTGAACACACTTAAACACAGCATCTCCCTACATCCAATGGGATACAATGGGGGAAACAAAATAAACCAGAATTATTTTTTGGAGGATGGGCTCCTTGTAACATAGGTTTCTTCCACTAGGTAAGAATTTCTAGGATCCTATCAGCATCAGCATACCAGCCAGCATTGCTATGAGAAGCTACATTAGGATTCAGTGAAAAGAAATTTTTTTTTTTTTTTTAGATTCTTTCAACACGTTTGCCCATTTTATAATGAGTGGTTTACACGAACAACCTGCCCATACCACACTGAGTTTTCAGAAGTTTTGGGCCAAAACAGCATGACCCTGGACCCTACCCTCCTTATTCATCTGATCTCGCCACTAAAGATTCTGTTTGTTTGTTTGTTTCCCTGGATGAAAAAAAGTCTTCAGAGGGTAACGTTTGGTCAAGTGGAAGAGATGAAATTTAAAAATGGCAGAAGCACTAAAAGGCATTAAAACTGATGAATTCAAAAACTGTTTTGAGGAGTGGAAAAAGTGCCTCAGTAGGTGTATTGCATCAAACAGAGAGTACTTCGCAGGTGACTAAAGTTTAAACATGTAAGAATAAATACATAATTTTTTTATAAATAAATTATGGGGTTTTTTGGACCCCCCATATTGTTACAAACATTAATTGAGTATTTACTATTTGCAAGAAAATCTATGGAGGGCACACAAATGAATAAGAATGGTACTTGCCATCAAAGAGTATATAATCCAATGAAAGTCCATGATGCCCACAGTAATACACAGATTTTAGTATAAAGTACATATCAAGGTTAGTATAACTAGATAATAGGGACAAATAACAAGGTTAATTTATATAATCATTTAAGGCAACAATTACAAAATAACATGGAAAAACTAATGAAAAGATATATAAATCAATGTCAAATAACTTGGAAAAAACAGAATTTAAGAAAAAACACTTGGGACAAAAAATTTGAATTGTGAAATGATCATCGTTGTAGAGTATTGCACAAATTTTGAGAACTACAACAATAAAAATTACTAATTAGTAAATGGCATGATGTTATATACTAAAATTTAATAATCATGATTAACATTTTTGTTTTTAAAAAAACAGTATTTTTTTTCTCTTCTGAAGAATGACAATTTTTTTAAATTGGAGTGAGACCTGAAAGTGGCACCAAGTGGTTAATAGGTAATGGAATGATACAGAGAAAAAGCCAATGCCTAGCTATAGTTAAAACCAACTAAAACAAATATATTTTCACTTAACTTTTTGTTAACAGGATATGAGTTTTTCAAAATGCAGATTGGGATATCATTTTTTCAGATAATATAATATGATCAGTCTTTCTGCAAATAAAAAATGCTTTGAAGACACAAAATAATAGAAAGAGACTTATATTATCCCTCAAGAGATTTTAAAAAGTGGTAAGATTCTCAAAAGACTGAATTCCCATTAATTGTTCATTTCCATGCAATTATTCAAATGACAGGAAACAACTAGTAAAAAAAATCAAGATTTAAGATAGCTAACAGTCTTTTATAATCTTTCTTAAATAAGCACAGAAAAGTTCAAAAGCAAATTAGGAAATGTGATATTTGAGTGAAGAAAGAATTGTGCAATGAAACACTACCCCCAAGTGGAAATTTTACAAAGTGCAACCAAACAAATAAGCATTGAAAGTTGGATAAAGAATTTATTGAGATCAATGATGTGCAGATAAACAATATCAAAATAGATTTATCCAAAATAAATCTCTACATTAAAGGCCACTAAATCAACACTGACCCATTCAGCCATCCCACTATCAACCAGAGCTAGATCACAGGGATTAAAGCCTTAACTAGAAAAACACCGGTTACATGCCATCAAGATGGCTGACTAAAGATGACCAATATCTGCCTCTTCCACAAAGAAGGCCAAAATAATAATTAACTGTACTTGTGTCTAAGTGAAAACATGAGAATTTAGCAAGGAAGTGACAAAAACCCTCTGAGGCACAGAAACTCAATGGCAGCTTAGAGAGAGAAGTTAAATACCAAGCTAGTTGATCAGCTCAAAGCCAAGAAGGACTCCCCCATTGTGGGTAAAAGATAAGTGGGAGATCCCCAACAATGACCATTACCATCACAAATGTCTGAAATTCTAACTACAAATGAGCCCCACAGGGCTCACAGACCCAGAACACAGTAGAGGGAGTAACCTGGAGTTCACACAGTTGAATTGCTCCAGAAATGGAACACACAGAGTCCTCCTCATACTCCAAGACCCAAGTTGCTAAAGCATGACACCATTGTGGGAACAGAGCCACTGCTGGAGTGCAACCTGCCCTAGGAACAAATAGCCAGGCATCTCCATATCCCTGGAGCACCATTCACTTTCATCACTCCACACCTACACAGAAGGTTACAGTACCATGACCCCAGGGAGTCCCAGTGGTATAACCATGACCCCAGCATCTAAGCTCATGCAGTGCCCTACAATCCAAAAAAGAAATGGTCAAGCACAGTGGGAAGGCTATCCCTAGGACCAAAAGAGCTGACACATGCACTCTCCAGAGACTGAGGACTAGCTTGCCTGGCACCTGCCACCTCAGATGACCATGATCTACCCAGTGGAACAGTCACCATGCACCACATGCTCCCCACATAGACCAAGATACCTGACACCATGCATAACCCTGTCCCCTCCCCTACAGAGAAGCTACCACGCATCATGCTCATTCACCAGAGACCAAGGACAGATCTGCCAAGTGATTCCCATTCCAGCAAAACTGGAACACTGTGTCTCCACAACATCAAAGTTGAGGCTACTGAGGGCCACAAAGATACTGATAATGTTGACTACAGCCAAAGAAATCACACAGAAATTACAC